ACGTGCATATTAAAATATGCCAACGAAATTAAGGCAATATATCAAAAGAAAACAAATCCAGGTATGAAATACCAGGAAAGTTTTTGCATTATAATCAAAAAAATAATTTGCTCTCATAGCAGTTTTGGAAATTTGTGCTTTCTTAACAAAAACCCTGGCCGCCCAGAGGGTTAAAATTCATTTTCAATGAGAAAAAATAACTTTCTTTTATTAATATAAACAACTTTAAATTTCAAAAGGTTTCCATCGCACATTATGATTTCTATCATAAACAATAAAAAATAGTAATAATTAAGCTGCACATATAAAAAAAACTGTATATTTATGGCATTTGCTTTGTGGTTTCAGGGCACGACCCCTAAGCCACTAGAGTATTGTGTCACAGTGCTCACAATCCTCTAGAGGCTCTGTGGTCATGTCTTGAAACCACTACTCTTCACAATGGCATTTGCAGCTTTTCAAATAGTAATGTTTATTTTTACCCAGATATAGATAAAAAGGGCTTTGAAACCACAGAGTTATTTTATTACTAAAAAATACATACATGTGCCCACTGAGAAGGTCTTTCTTTTCCAGAGATTTTTCTCTGACCTCAACACGCTTGCTTCCTTTGCTAGTATTATGATTTTATAAATTATTTTGTGTGGTTTAAATATAATGTAAATATACTTTGTTATAATTAAAAATAGAGATCGCATGAAAGTTTTATTTGAATTATAAATATTTTGGGACGATGAATGGAAAACGAAAGATCCATACAAAGCCAAAAAGACAAAAGTCCATCCCCCCCCCCAATGAACATAAAAAACCACAAATTTCATGTGCCAGATGAAAAGAGACTAAATAACGCTGGATATATGGCAATAAAATGCAAATCCAGGCAGTATACATTTTGTAGCACAAGGGAGAAACCTCATACAACAAGATACATGTGTGAAACGTATAATGTGGGTCTATGCATGTACCAAAAAGACAAAACATGCTTTGAACAGTGTCCCGAAAAAAAAAATCTGTTCTTTAACATTTAAAAAAAAAAAAAAAAAACACTGAGTTTTCTTAACCATTTATCCGAACGTCTTTATTATGTAGGTTCTTATGTTTTCACTGCGATAGAAAAATTGCATAAATATTTATTTTTTAATTTTTTCTGATGATTTACTTTGTAAAATAATGTAAAAAATTTGCATATAATGCAATTTTTACTTTTTTTTTTAAATACACAAAATTCGTCATTTATGAGAAATGTGCACGGAAAAATGTAAGTTTTTTTTCCTGCTACCTCAGTAAGTTTCAAAGTCCTAGACGTACGCTGATTTCACAGTGCGATCACCACACAGAGATCAATGGGGAATAGATTTTTTTTTTTAATTGATGTATTATTTGTCTGTAGGATCATAATATTCAATTTCTAGAGTTTTTTAGTTAAAGAAATTATAAAAATAACAAAGGTATGCATTAAAAGGTTAAACAATTGAAACTAGTCCTGCAAAACTTACAAATATTATGCTGATTCTTGTTTGACTTCTCCAATAATCAGTGTATTTTTAGCTTTTATTATGTTTTTTTTTTTTTTTTTTTTTTTTTTTTTTTTTTTTGCACTATCTTACAAGGACTCACTATACTGACTATGACATCCAGTCTCCAGCTCAACAATACAGTTAACATAGTTTACCATGAAATGCTTGTAGCTGCTTGCAGATTTGAAGATTTATATCCACTTCAGCAGATCCGTGTGATTCTACTCTGTTGCAGTCATTAAAGTTTGCAAAAAACATTTGGGAACAGTTACAAGGAAATACTTTCAGTTTCTTGCAATCCATCCAAAACCCACTGCAAGGAAGAACAACCTATGTTATTTTTTCTTTTTATGAATGAACTTTTGTCAATTTCTATAATTTTGTAGCATCTATTGATTTTAACCTTAGGATGAGATAAAACTCTTGTATATAACTGTTTCATTCAACCATTGTGTTGTGATTCATTTGAAGCTTTTGTTCACAATACACAGCAGACACCACAAAAAATGAATTGTTTAGCAGCAATAAAAGAAGCTGGACATCTAGCAAACTATGTTTCTGGTTGGATACCTTCTTCTTCCTAAAATAAATGAAGACTGCATTACTAACCTTATTCAGTTTTGAGCCACATTTTACTTTCATGAAGTGGTCATTTAGTGGTCATTCAAGCAAAAGTTATCTTTTGTTAGAAGAAATGGAATAGTGGTCTTGTTATCTTTTAGCAAATCCAAAATCATAAAATTTCTTCCAAAAAAAATGTATATAAATGACAGTTATTAGGAAAGACCCAAACCCTAGCCAAATGAAAAAAAGCATTGTGTTGTGGCTTTAACAAAATAATACCCTCTTGGTGACATATGCCGATTTCTCACTAACTTGATTTTCTGAAAGTTTTAGGAAACACAATGTTGATGCTCTAGGAACAATTTTCTCAAAGCTTCCAGAAGCCTATAGTTCACCATATAAATAATTATATAATGTTCACCATATTTTGCTGTGTGTCATTTTATTAATTCCAGTAAACTGTCAATTTCTTCCTGCTAACCCAGAGTTTAAAAAGATTATTATTTAAAGAAACATTATTTAAGTTTAAACAGATTGTTATTTAAAGAAACAATCTATTGACATTTCTTTGTATATGGGATGTGTTATTGATAACAAATTTGCTTGGCAAAAACATGTCAAACATATAATTAATAAAGCCAAAAAAAGCCTTCCAATTCTCAAGAGGTTGGCTGGTGATAAATGTGGCTGCGGAAGAGACACCTTAAATTTATAAAATGTATATCCAGCCGATCTGAAATTATTGCATTGAGGTGCTTTTCTCTGCTTCTGCTAATGTGGAAAAGCTTTTAGAGGTCTTTCATAACCAAGCTCTAAGAATCATTATTGGTGGAGTTAAAACTAACCCTGTGTTGGCCTTACAATTTTTGACTAAAATTTGACTGTGATTACTGTGAGAAGTGCTTCCAAATGATGCCTTTTGGTGTGACTATAATTTTTAATTGAAGACTCAGAGAAGTTTTATGCAATGTGTCTATAATATTAAACGTTACCATATTTTTAATGACTGATTTGCTTATTCCTTCCCTTGCCCATATCATTACATGGATCTCAATGTAAAGTTGGATCAAACTCGGAAAATTAGAGTCGGATCTTCCTCCCGAGGCCTTACAGGTGATTGCTTTGGAAACCATCCATAACCATTACCCTTCTGATAACTGGTTACATGTGTATACTGATTGTTCACTTTCTGATTGTTTGCTGGGCACCGGAGTTGTCACATTCAGTGAACTTTTTTATTTTCGCCTTCTGGTTGGAAATTTCATGACTTGCTTTGATGGAGAAATGAGTATATTCTTGTATCAATTGAACAACTTTTTATACAAAACTCTTTTTAAAAAGTTGTGATTCTTTCTGATCCTGTTTGTGTACTACAGGCTCTTTCTTCTAATAAAGAGGTTGAGAACTCCCACGTTCTAAGATACAGGACTTTGCTTGAGAATTTTCTTAATAGAGTGTCCTTCCAGTGGATCCCCTGCCACTGTGGCATTGAGGAAAATGTGAGGGCTGATTATCTTGTTAAGAAGGGATATTCTGTTCTTCTGAAACCCTTGTGAAATTTCAATTCCATTCAGCTAAATTGGAAATAGCTAGGATTTCTAGGTGCTTCTTCATGATACAACTTTACATCTTTCGAATGACAAACCTTGGAATGTCCTCTTTTCTAGACTACAACTTGTTTCTGGCTCACCTCATGTATAGTTGCAATTTTTAGAATGTTAACTGGGCATGATTGCCTCCATGCTCATCTTTTTTATTTTAACATTGTGGACTCTCGTATGTATTCTCTTTGTAACTGGACAACATATGCCTGCTTTACATTTAGACGAGTACCCTGCACTATCTGTTTTTTCTTCTTGTGTGGAGAGATATTGGAGAACCCATTGTCTAATGGCCTATGGCCAAACAATTTGATAAAAATAAGAAAAATATTTAAAGAAACATTCAGAAACCTATAGCTTGCAGTATTATATATATATATATAATGATTTCTGTTTCAGAGAATAATTTTTAATTAAAGAATTTTACTTTGATCATGGTTGGAGGGGAAAAAATTATAAGGAAAATATTCACCAAGCATCCCAACATTTAACTTTTAAAAAGCCATAAATCATTTATGTTTTGTAACATTTTATGTTACAGCGATGAGTCTTATTTGCATTTGACATACATAACAAAGTATTTTTTTAAACACCATGATCGCAATTTATGAATCTACCCCCCCCCCAAATTCTGTCTTATCTGATTTGTTCCTATAAAGAAATAATATTTTGGCAAAGTTTAAATGAAAATTTATATCTAAAAATGGCTTTTCACTATCCACTATCTTTCTGGTATTTGAAACCACTTCCTGTTGAGTGAAATATTACAGCTATTCCAGTGTTAGATGGGCTATCTCATTTCCTTGTTTAAGCTTGTTGATCTGTATAACGGTAATTCATCAAGATAAATGAAACCAATGTGAATTTTGGGAGAGAATGAATTAAAATAGTATTTCTAATTGTTTTTGTCATTGCAAAGTTTAATTATTTTCTCTCAAACATGTGTTTATTGCTATCATTGATTTAAAAAAAAAAATATTCCCACATTTTTGTGATCTTTGAAAAAGAAAACAATCCTCAATTCTCATCTAATGAAATTATCTGTATTGCTTGAAATAGGTCTGCTGATCCAAAACAGGTCTATAAAGTTGTACATCTTTTTCAGGTATGTATACAGGTGGTAGTATAATATATGAATATCACATAAGCAATACAAACAAATGTATTAAAAATAGATCAAGTACCTAAAAGTCTTTTAGACATTTGTATTTGAGGGATTTTGTTGTTTTGTGTGAAAATTATATGAAATTTAGGCATAGAATAGGTATGATTAGATGTATGTCTATTAATGTCTCTAAAACAATTTTATTTGTTGTAGGTGCAGCTGGAGTATGGCCACTTCATCCTCACTCATTAACATTAGCATGGAGAGCACGCCAGCGACAAGTAGCTAGTGAAACAAATAGTTCTGAAACTACAAATGATAATACAACTTAATTTTTCATTCATTATGTTTTATGAACTTTTAAAAAATATGTTAGTTTAGTTGAATAAATTTTACAACACAGATTATAAGCTAATAAAATTTTTTTGCAACACATTTGAATTAGAATGTCAAATTGAAGACTTTATTGTACGAACTGAATCAAAATAAATAGGTCCTTAATTTTCAGTCCAGAAAATTTAAAATATATATTTTTAAACTGTTTGAAGAATGAAATAACTAGAAAAGAGTCATAAAGATGAGATAAAATCCTTTATTTTTTAAAGCTGCAGATGTTTTCACTGTTGCTGTGGAAAACAGACTTATACCACATTAACAAAAGAAATATGCTGTTCCTTACAAAATCAGTGCCCCCCCCACACACACACACTTTGTAAGAATAGCTGTGTTATCTCTCGACTTAAAAATTATAAGTATAAAAATTGAAACAAGTTATCAAAAACTAAGTATAATTTCCCTCACTTCAGATAAGATTTGATAATCTTTTTGTAAATAATGCTCATATTTATGTATATACACAGCCAGTCTTCATTTTGTACTAAGGTTAACATTCTTGTACTTTCTTCATAAATCTTGCATAAAACAGTCATATATCATCAGATGTTAAATATTATAGTAAACAATCTCATTTACAGAATATTCGCTTTTGTTGTTATATTCTTCATTCCTAAACTTTGTAAGATGAGTAGTATGGGGATATCTTTATTTTATTATGTGAAATAGTATCACTAAAAGTTCTAGTAGCTGCATGCTCAAGGTTAAAAAAAAAAAAAAAAAAAAAAAAAAAAAAAAAAAAAAAAACAGCCTCAGCACACTCTCAATTTATAAGCATTGTGTTAACAAGCAACAGTTCATGGGTTCGACTGTAACTGATGAACTTTGCATTTTCAGATAAATGCTATTCTTCTCAGCAGATGATACCACTTTCAATATTTTGGTCACCCAATCATGGACAGCTCATCACTACAGTGCGTTAGTCGTAGCAGGTAAGCCCTCTTGTAAACTTATTCAGCTGAAAGGAATACTTATTAAGGTATTCTTTTGTAATACAGTACAAAGTATGAAATCCAGAAAAATGAATAAAGAAAGAAAAACCCCATCCTCCCATCTTACAAAGTTTAGGAATGAGGACTATAATATCAAAAGCAAATGCTCTGTAAATGGGATGTTTTCTCCAGACTAAGATTTGTGCATGTCATTTTCAAACACCTGCTGGCTAGAAAGTTGTTTTGTGACCAGCAACAGTGCATTGATTGTCACTGGTCACATGCGACTTGTGGCTTGGGTCACACTTGTGATGACGATCATGACTGGGATCACACCTGTGACCATTACTGGTTCTGGAGAAAGGCAGGAACTGCATTAAATATTTTGCCAACCAGCATTATCTCTGTAGGTCCTAAATTCTAAAAATTCTGCTGTTCCTGATTTTCGTTGCTTGGTACTCCTCTAAATTCTAAAATTTTTGTCACTTCCAAAATTTTGATTGCCTAGTGCATCTGCACCAGTTGCACCTTACCAGGCATCAGCTCTCTAGCAAATTAGCATTTTTATGTGTTGTCTGAACAATGAGTGAAGCCCTGGTGTTTTCATTTCTACACATCACCTTACTAGATTTAAACTGATAATCTAAAATCTGAAACCGTCTAAATCAAGACGATTCCAAATCACGGAGTTTGTATTGTATATTATTTCAGTCATATTAAAAATAAGATAAAACATTCACAACTATATATTTTTAAATGAGTAGCTTCACTGAAGCTTTTTTTCAATAGCTTCAGTTATCTACACTTTTAGCTGGTCTAATTTTTATTGGCCTATTCTGAATCATCATATACCAAATAATTATAAAACAAGTTGTGCATCTTAAATATAGTATATTTCCATAGTGGTGAATTACCAGAAACAACATGTATGGGTAACCAAAAGTACAATAAATCCAACAGCAGTTATAAAAACTACAAGAAAGAGGAATATCCCACATTATAATTAACAGTTCACCTCTATTTTTAAGCAGTTTAATCTGAAGAATAGTTTCATTTGATATATAAAATAAATCAACATTCAAAACTAAAAGAACAACTTATTTTTCTATATTCATATTTATTTCAATAAGAGTCAGTGGAAAATAGAAGATTAATGGCTGTACAGATAATTTACTTTTACAATTTGGCAGTATATGTTAATACATATAATTTAACAATGTTTATGTATTTCAAATTATGTGCAGTTAAATTACGTACAGTTGTGGATTAAAATAAAATACAGTAAAGTCATATAATGTCACTAACTGCTGTACAGATGATTTATTTTTTTATCATTTAGCAATGTACGTTAACGCATGATTTAAAACATGTATTTCGGATTATGTGCAGTTTTTAGATTTAAAAAAAATACTGTGACTTCATCTATCACTGCTGTTATCTGACACAGTCTGATAGTAACTTCCCCCCCCCTCCCAGTTAGGCTTAGTTAATTTGCCTTCAGTTAACTAGGAATTCACTGTGTATGTATATATATATATTTATATATAATGCAAAATCTATTAAAGTAAATACTTTTAAAATCTATCCATATTCAATTCGGAACAAAATACACAAAAAAAAAAAAAAAAAAAAAAGCACAAGTGCCAAACTGCATGATAGGCACACAAAAAAGCAATTTTTATCTTTTGCTGCATCGTTGGCAGCAGACTGGTGCAACGAAAAAATAAATACCTATTTCTGAATCAACAAAGACACAAAATTTAATGCTTAAAATAATCTCTGAAAATTACTTATCTGTCTTCATCAGTCCAAATTACAAATCATTCTTTGTTACATCACCATACTTAATTTTATAATTAATAATATTTTTGCATTTGTTTTTTCTAACTTTTTAATTAATGTTAATAAGTTTAAAATTTGTTGTTAATCTAATTTCATTATTTAACACATATTAGGCTTAACAAGTCTTGCTACTGGGCATGTCGAATTAATATTTTTTTTCATTTCAGAACTTTCATTGCGTTATGTTTTTCAGATCAAATTTTCATTTGTTGAATTGCTTCTGTTTATATGTTTTGTTTTTTGCACTTGGTCCACTTAAATAGAAAATAATTTGTATTATATTTTTAAGCTTTTTTATGATTCTGATGGTACAATTTTGCTTAAAAAAAACTACTGCAGCCTGTATGATTTCAGATTTCTGTTTATTTTTTCCATGTGTTGGATTGCTTGTAATTGTAGGATTTGTTTTGGGGTTCTGTTTGCCCAAAATTTAAAAAAAATTTAAGCACATTTATGCTTTTGATGCTATAATTTTGTACCTGTAGGGGTTGGATTGATAAAGACAGATTACTTTAATTTTCTGAGATTATTTTAAGTATTAAGTTTTAATTTGTGTCTTTGTTGATTCAGAAACAGGATGATGTATTTATTACTTTTATTGTATCAACCACCTGAAAACAACACAATGAAAAATGTTAATTTCTTTTTTCCTTTTCGTTTTTGGTTTTGACATTTTTTGCATCGATTATGCAGTTTTCCGCTGTGGTTGTTTTTTATATGCATGTATAGTTTGTTCTGAATTGAGTTTGGATGGATTTAGCATTATTACCACCACTTGTTGCTGCTTTCAGTGTATAGTTGGATTAGGTTTTGAACTGCTTTTTACTTTGCATTTATTTATACATATAAACACAAATTATGAGTTGAATAGATTGGAGAGGTTTATTGCGTATATAGAAGCATATAGGAGAAGATACTTGCAGATGTGAAAAAATTCAGTTATTCCTTTTTATTCATGGTTGGAACACATTTTTCATTAATCTAACATAAATGAAATTGGCACAGTCACACCTTGCTCTTAAAGAACGTTTTACATCAGTACTAATACACTTGTGAAATATATTTTTAAAGACAGCAGCAAAAGTTAAGTGGACAGTGAAAAGTGATGCCGCATTCAAAAGAAGCCTAGGAGTGAGATAAAAAGAATCTTATTCAGTGAATGGAATCTGCATTGCATTTTGTAAGATTTTATGATAGGGATTAATTTTGAAATGATGCAACTGAGATCAATATATTATAAATTATTTTTAGGACAGAAAGGTGAAGTACCAAATTGGAAAAAAAAAAAAAAGAGAGAGAGAGAGAGAGAAGCTACTGCTAATTAAAAGTTTGCTTTACATGTTTTTATGTTACATAAAAATGTTACAAGCAGCAACATTTGAAAAGTAATTATTATGGAGGAATTATTTTTCCCTAGAGTGGAGACAAATGTCAATAGTTATCTTATTGTGTGGGTAGGCAATGTAAGCTGACAGATGCATCAAACAGGGTTGCCACGTTACCAGGAAAAGTCAGGGAATTTCATATGGCAACCACTAAAAAAGTGATTTTTGCGCCAGCGTTGGAAGCGATCACCGTTTTGGTGAATTATGTATCGTCTGCACAAAAGAAATTTTTAAATGCTGATTGGGCAGATTCTAATATCAGTCCTCAGTAAAGAAAACAACTCCTATTATAGTTATAAATGTAATGCTTTGAGGATTATATATATATATCTTTTTACTATTATACATATATATCCTTTATCTAAAGTCAGTCGTATGTAATTGGCAAATTTTTGTGTTTTCAAGTGGTACCATAATTTACCCTCAGCATTGCCAATGCGCACTATGCCGATAACCTGGAATTTTCTTGAAGCACACGTGGAAAAGTCAGGGAATTTCATTCTCCTGTTTGAGTGGCAACCCTGATCGGAGCTATCGAAATGGCAAGATGTTTAGAAAAGAAGTCTTGCTTGGAGGTGAAAGTCGTGATTCATTTCTTGTGGGCAAAGAATGCGTCCGCAACTAAAATTCACAGTCAGATTGTGGAAGTTTATGGTGAAGAAGCAATGAGTAGACAACATGTAATGAAATGTTGCTCTTTGCAATACGGCAGTGGGTGGCCATTTAAGTTCAACAGAAATCTACAAAGTACAAATTAAAGAAATGATTCAGAATGATATTTTGGCTAACTGTGCATGCAATGGGACTGTGTAGTGCATCTTTTCTGATGTGTTGTGATATCAAGGGATACATTATCCAAGGAACACATGGGAATGATGTGCAGTTTCACATGTTAGCATCACCATTCTCACACCCAGCACTTCATTGATCACATCATTATTAGAAACAAAACTTGGCTTTATCATTTCATTCTCACAACCAAAAGAGCCAGTATGAAGTGGAAACATGCTGGATCACTAATGAAAAAAGTTTAAGGTACATACACCCTCTGCTGGTAAAGTTATGGCAATTATACTCATTCTTGTTGTGTTACCCTGATCGAGTATCTGAAGCGTGGCTATACATTACTGTTGACTGTGGTTGTACAACTTCAATGAGGTTACATGAAGCCATACAATGCAATTGCCCTGGCTTGTGGAGAGATGGTGTTATCCTCCTGCATAATAATGCCAGGTCCCATACTGCTTGCCAAACTCTAGAATAACTAGTATTCAGTGCAGCAAATTTGCTGCTTCTAATTTCAAGTGGGAAGTTTAGAGTACCCTCCATACAACCCAGATTTGACACCCAATGACTATTTCCTTTTTCCGAAATTGATGGAACACTTATCTGGAACAAGGTTCTCTTCAGATAACGTGAAAACAGCTGCCAAGATTTAACTCATTTGGTAGGGATGTGGTTTGTACCAAGACAGGTTAAACAAGTTGGTCCTGCATTCAGCAATACCTAAATATAGTGCAAGTATGCCTCTCAATTCCCTTTATATTTTCTGTCTAGTGTTAAATAATAGCCTTGCAAGCTTTTTTTTTTTTTTTTTTTTAGATCCATCCTCACATATATTATTTTACTCCTCTCTTAAAAATAATGAAGTACTGTTTCAAAATTAATCCCAGCCATATGATTTTTTGAGAAAGTATGACTAAAATGTTTGGTGGAAGTACTGATAAACAAAAGTTTTCCTAAATCAAGAAAGGCATTTTATATTATTTGACATATTGACAATTACTGAGCAATTCCTGGAAAATGCAGGTAAAGTTGCTTTGGTATTGCATGTAGAACCCTCATCATTGTAGACTTGAATGTCTACAGTATCCGAAAATCATTCTCTTTTTAGGGCTGGAGCAAGATCAGGTGAGTAATGGTAGTGCATGATCGACAGCTACAACTCCTGTATAGATAAACTGTTTTATGATGGGGGCCAAATGTGGCTGATCATTATCATGCACAAAGAACATCACAACATATTTTGGATGTATACAATGGGTCCTTAGCAATAAATTTGCTTCAACATCCTTGTATGTGTTGGCATTCAATGCTGTTCTGGAAGAAATTTCTTTATGAATAAGTACTGTCTTTTATTCTTGATTTCTGAGACTGAAACATTATCTCACTTTGAGAATTGTGACTGGGCTATTCCTAGCCTTAAGTGTTGAAAAAGGAAGTATATTTGAGAAAGTATGTTTTGTCTCTCCAACTGTCAAGATGAGCCTGCATGTGATCCGATAAATCTTAGAATATAAAACAGCAGCAAACCTTCTGCTTGGTCAAATTCTCTGTCAGAACATTTTCATGATTTACATCAAGTTCTTTTATCATTCGCACTGTAAGGCAATGGTTCATAGTTAATATCTTCACCTTTTCAATGTTTTTTGAGCAACATCTTCAGATAATCTCATCCATAATAAAAAATGTTTAAACCATTCCTATATGTATATTTAAGATACAGTTTCCTTTGCATTAATTTGTTTCAGCATATTGTGAATTACGCAGATTTACCAAACTTGAAACAGTTTGGTAAAACAGTTCATCTGCTGCTCTATTTTATAGCTATACATTTTTGCTGGAGTTTTACTCACATAAATCTCATAATACTTATTCTTACAAAATGTGCTGATGCATGTTCAAACATTTGCAAAGTGTCTTTTCCATACTTCTCCATTCGTCCACTACCATGTGTGTACAACCTCTTAAAAGTGAGACTTGTACTCAGAACCAGTTTTTTAACCACAGTAGTTTTAAAAAATTTCATCAGATGATTTATAAATATATCTACTCTTATAATGTCTGCACATGATATATTTCTCAGCTGAATAGTTGAACTCATTTCATACATTTTAAATTCTAATAAATAAAAAAATATGATTACTATATCATAGTAGTTAACAAATCATTAGACATAGCATTTCTAACAGTAGAATACACTATCATTTTTATGCCCAGCAAGATCTTCAGTTACTATTAAAATTTTATGCATACATGACATCAGTATAATAAAACAAGTACTAATTATACATGTTAATTTTGTACTTTTAATTGAATGTGATGCTTTTTTTTTTCGGTCGATGAATCATTGATCTATCAATAAGCAGCCCTGCCAGTTACATTGTTCTTTAAATGACCTAATGAAGACATAAGACAAATATGTTACAGGAGAATATCTTAATTTTTCTAACAGTTGTTATAAATCTGCTGCATCTCTTTGCTATAAATGAAAATGTCATCTTTTTTTACTAAAAAACCTCTAATATTTAATGTTATGCATATCATTTCACCTTATGTACAATTCATTTACAATACAGAATTGCAGACTTTTACATACTACAGGAGTCCATTTCCCAGCCACCTTGTTTCCATTTCTTAATGGGAAACTTACTTCTTGATGACTATTATTGAATTATTTGAAAAATATTTGCACTGTTTTTAATCTCTTATTCAATACATGGCAAGGGGAAAAATTGCAATTTCAAAGGCTACTTTTTTTATTAACCCAAAGGTTTATAATTCTTATGCAAAGGTTCTACTTATCAACAAATTATGACAAATGCTTGCGCTTATGAAAAATTTCTTCTCATATTGGAAATTATTTTAAATAAAATCAATGCTACATTGAATTTATTTAATTTTAGAGCTGAAGTGTTTTTTTAACCCCTTGCATTTCTCTATTTTATACCATATATACAATTATAGATAAAACACAACATATTTATAAACTTTTTTATTGACTACAGTAAAACATACATAAGGTAATCAAATAATTACACTTCTTAAAACACACAATAATGAAAATAATCAAAAGAATGCCATATAAATCTCATGCTAACTATTATAAAATATTTAACCACTGTCATGTCAGTTATGATCACTGTTTAGATATAAGGTCATGACAATGAAAATTTTCTAAATTTTTCAGCTCTAAAATTAAATCATTTGATGATAATGAAAATGTCTATCACTGACATTTTATCAAAAATATCAAAGAAAATAAATTATCTTAATTACATCAAGTAATACTAAGATCAGAAAATTAATTACAGCAAATGGTCATATAAGAAAAAATTACTCAAATAATTTTGGAACATGGGAGAAAATTTTTAAATGTTCTAGGATAATGCATTACTTATACAATTGTTTTTGGCTACAAGTATTGTAATAAGGGATATTTGACAACATGTAATATATATTTACATAAATTTTCTAAAACATTCACATGAAAATTTGCTTTGTATCTGATTACTTTTTATATTTATGTTAATATCTGTATATATTATAATAAATTCAAGCGCATTATTATATTGTTTCAGCTATTATGCTTTCAGAATCAAACTAATTGTGCTTAACTGCAATTTGCATAATGTATTTCACTTAAATACATAAATACTGAATTATATTAATCTTGGTAAAAGCAAGATATTCAATTGTTTTTACAGTTCATCTAAATCAGGAATAGGATCTCGCCAATACAGAAAAGAATCATATTGACTTAAAACAGTTTCGTCTTTATCCATCACATCACGTAATTCAAAATCTTCGAGGGTGATTTCCATTATGGGTTCACGCCAAAACTGAAAATTATTGTATTCTTCTGGACTGAAGCACTCATAGAACATTTCATTTGTTGGGTACATTTTCATTCCAGATTTAGATACTTTTTATGCTGTTGGAAGAAAAAATATTTTTCAAATCTAAAGAACAGCTTAAGGTTTTGTTGTCTTGAAAAATTCATAAAGTGTTTAATTGCATAATTTCTGTATCATGAAAGAAACACTGACAGTTAAATTAATTTTTAAATAATATTCATATATTTCTGTAGCAAAAATAACAGATAATTTTACTATATATTAAAAAGAAACATTAAAAACTGAAATTTTATACACAGGAATTACATCTACACATGTAATAATCATCAGTAAAAAACACAGATATGGGAAAACTTAATACGACACATCATCAACATTACAGTAAGCATAACATTTGAGAGGTTGTTCTAAGGTACCTGTATCCCCTTTGCTTCTCAAACCTTACCTTAGGTGCAGTGGTGAATTACTGGCCTTATCTTAAACTGATTGTAAATGCAACAATCACAAGAATATAAAATATTAACTTTTTTTTCCTCACTACTACTCGGTGTAGTCTCTCATCTACTCAGGGAGACATTCAGCTAAACTGGAAGTATAACTAGCCTGGCTACTATTGCAATGCACAATCAGACAACCTAATTTGAAATTGCATTTACCAACCCAAACATAATGTCCAGCAAACTACTCTAGCAGTAACTTCAGATGCAAGATTGTATCAATAGCAAAATGTCTCTACCACAAGTTACAAGGTTACAATTCTTCCTCTCAATTTAAACTAGGTTACTTGCCAATAACATCGACATAAATCTCAGAACAGAGGAAGTGTATGGCAAAATAAGGCATGAAGCAAAGGTGTAAAAAGTAGTTAAATGAAATGCCACTATTAATAGTAGAAAAGAGTTAAAATATTAAAATTATAAAACATATGGCTGAGATATTATTAAGTTTGTTATTTCAAAGTTGTTTTTCATGTGTTCAAAGCATTTCATATTCAACTTCTATATGCATGATATTAAGATTATATAATAAATCCATAATTAATTTCACTGATAGCTAGATGGATTACCAACTATAATAGACATTTAAAAATAATACCAGTCCTTTGAAATAAGTTGCCAATAAAAAGGCACATTTAAAAAAAAAAAAAAGGAACAGTTCTGTTCAACTACCCCAATCATAACACTCAATTTCCAGTTTCCATTTCTCGTATGAATAACTTATTTATAGAACAAAGTCCGAGATAAGGACTTCAGCGATTCCATATTTTAGATCATGTCAGCTTCATGTAACCTAATTACCTGGTCATTTACAAACGAAACTAATAAATGGTGCTGACAATAGAAGAATCCATGTTACTAGTCAAACTAAACTTTATTGACATTCAGCTTTTAGAATGTGGAGTCAGAATGGGTTGGTTTATTTAATTATGGCAAAGCACACTAGGGCTATTTGCCTAAGGGGAGGGATGTCTTAGTGGAGGACTTTCTAAGGGAAACTGGCTCGTATACACATTACACATGGGGAAAAGCACCCATGCAGCCAGTCCGTTCGCGGGATTCGAACCTCGGACCGAACTACCAGTGTCCAGTGACTTTACCGCTCGGCTGCTGGTGGGCCCAGAATGGGAACAAGCCAGATTTTTAGGTAAAAGACGTCGACTCCAGCTCCAGTTTTTGTTGGGCAGTTTGAAATGAAATTAAAGTGAATTGAAAAAAAAAAAAAAAAAATTAATTACAAACTGAGTTATTATTTTTATTTATGCACTATATACATTAATAAATAGTTACTTTATATTTTATTGACATATTAATAAATAAATATAAGGGAAAAGGATGGATGTGATATTGGTCATTATTGATTAAACTGATTCATTTTGTTACAAATCTCATTGGTAAATTTAAGGAAGCAGCAATAGCATCAAGAAATCCCAAAATGGATGGCATTCTTAGGAAGCAAGCAGAAAAAGGAGCAATTATTGACCAAGCAATGCAATGAAGTACATATTTTATGATATAGAGGTTGTTAGAATTAAGAACTTTTTTAGAAGATGTAGATAACCCTAATGTTTCACTAACAGAAAGACTGGAATGATCTTGCAGAATTGGAAACTCTTCTTTTACACCATATATAGCCACAAAAAAGCTACTATCTGAAGAATTAATAGGAGGCGAGAATGGAAGAATGATGTTTGTTTTTTCTGAAATGGAGAGTTTATTGCACAAGGAATCATTTCTTCAATAAAGAAAAGAGAAACTAGTTTGTTCGACAATAAGATCTTGCTTGGTTCGATATATGTAGATCCAAACACCAAATTTTGTTTGATGACAAATAAATTAAAAAAGCAAAGAAAGCTAACTGCAATCAAAATGGTATCAAACAGATTTTTATTCTCTACAGCTTATGTATGCCTCCAAGTAAGAAGATAAATGATAATGAATTTTACCCCACTACCCAGAGGAGTAGCTAGGGTTTTCAGCACCCGGGGACAACTGAAGATTTTGCACCCCTTCTGTGTGCCAAAAATTAAAAATATTTAATTTTAAATTTCTTAACATCAATTTGTGCCCCCTGGATGCTGCACCTGGAGACAGATGTCACTCCTTCCCCCACCCTAGCTATGCCATTACCACTACTGACTGAAGTTGACATTAAAATAAAAAGTCTTGATTCTAACCTCTTTCTCCAAAAAGAAAAGAAAAACAGAAATCTTATTTTGGTGGTAAAATCTAGAACAGCCTTTAGGGCTGCTGAACACTCACAACAGAGTTATGGGTGACATTTTGGGTAATACATCAGCAGGTGCTGGATAACCAACAAGTACATTCATTAAATATCATGTTCTTCACACTTAAACCGCAAAATTCAATTCAACAGCAATATCACAAAATAATGTTTAAAAAGCACATCTTTAGAATTTCTGATACATAGTCTCACACACTGGAGATAATTCCCCCCCCCAACACACACACAGTGTTGCTATTGCTGAACTTGTTAATCAAAAGTTCATTAATGTTTTACAAAATATGAAATAAATAATAAAACAAATTCTAAATTTGGGCCTCCAGATAACCATACTCGGGCGGAACCAAAATTTGATCTCTCTAGGTACTGTTGTTGTATCACAATGCAAGAAACATACATTTATGCAGATTCTTCATTATTTAATTTCTTTAAATATAACACAAGGTGATAACATTTGAAAAGCGATACAGCCTTTTAAAGTTTTCAACGCAAAATGCCAAAACAAAATTAATAGCTTTTCTGAGCTAATGTCCTTTGGGCTAAAAATAAACTAAACACTTAAAACTTTTATGCAAAAAACAAATACCTTAAAATGGAGATTTCCCAGCTGGCTACTTTGCTTCTACTTGAACTTCTCTCAGACTTACAAAATCTAAAAATAAAAATTTCAAGAATACTTTCAAATTGAAAATGCTGAAAATTCATATACTGTGAAACATTATTTGTCTCATTTTTTTAATTCATAATTTTAATTACATTCTTTGGGAAAACTAGCAAGAGAACTATACTATATCAATGCATCTCATGTACATTAATGAATAAAAATTTCAAACTACTTATTATGATTGTTTTTTGCAGTTATTACCAATCAAAACAACTTCGCAAACTAACAGTTAATTCAATACATCCTCTTCTTAAAGCTTAAAACTGACTCCATACACCTTCGAAACAACATCATCATCAAGAAATAATCTTTCAATAAATACATGATTTAGCCTATTAATTAACAGGAATAAACAGCAATGAAAGTGTTAAAATTTTTCAACTGCGCATTATGAATGATGCATTCCCATATGTTTATTCACTGCATTTTGTAAGAAGCTTTACTGAAAACACAAGTGTTACATAAAATTATACCAAAACACCCTCAATTTTTAGTAATATTCTAGTAAATACTATGCATTAGTTTTCATCTTTGTTCTTCCCCATTTCTGTTGATGTGACCAATAGAGAATCAATAATAATAGCATTAACAAAAACAATTTAACTAAATATATAAAGCATCACGTAAAAATTAATTTCAAAAACAATCCATAACAAAAACTAATCAAACGATCACATTTGTTTCTCTGCAGCCAAAAGTATAAATTTCAAAAGTTATTCATTGCACAGTATCATTTCTACCACAAACAATAAAAATACAGCAATAATTAAACTGCATATGTAAACAACTTATATATGGCATTTGCTTTGTGGTTTCAGGGAGCGACCACAGAGTTGCTACAGCATTGTGTCACAAAGCTCTAGACCAGTGTTTCCTAAGCTTTTTTTGTGCCGCCTAATATTTTCTGAAATTCTTATGCTTCCTCTAGCACAGGGTTTCTTACACTTTTTTCAGTTGCAACCCCTTTTTATCACTGAGATTTTTTCACCACCCCCAGGACCCCATAATATTTACGAAAATTTTGTGAGACCCCATAAGTATTGCGCAAATCCAACACATGCATGTGTGAAACTGTCCATTTTTTCACTAGTACTGTAATACACTATTTCAGTTTTAGGTAATTTCTAATTTTAAGACATAGAACAATGTGAAAGTTTTAAATAAGTAACAGACGAAACGACAGCATTGCATGCAAAGCCAGTAAAATGAACGTTTCTATTATAAAAAGAAAGCTTTGAAACATTTTCCTTTTCTATACTGTCTTTTATCTTTATCTATTTTCAGATACATTATGTAAAAATATTTGGTAATTGTAAAATTATTATAATAAGTTAAAGAAGCATCAAAACTGCTAAATTTTTAGGCAATCCCTTGCTGCAGGTCCTGTTACCCGCAGTTAAGGAAATGCTGCTCTAGCATATACATAATTTTTAATATTCAAAATTGAAATGTTCATGAAAGAAACTTGAATGATAGGTTTTAAGAAGAAATCACTAGGAAATTTTATGAGCAAGCACAGTAAGTAAAATTTCAAAACATATAATAGAGAAATGAAATTCAAGTACAAAATAATCTTAATGAAAGTTTTTTTCTATGGTATTAGTAATTATTTATTATTTAAATTGAGCGAGATTCTTGCACTTGATGCTTGCTGCAAAGAGATTTTATGTCAGGTTCCAATTTAGTTAACTTCAGTCTCCAAGTGCCCCGTTTCATTGCATCCCGTGCCGCCCAGACGGTATAGCTGTCAAGGGAGCCTCACTGCGATACTGAAGGGCCCGGGTTCGAATCCCAGAGAAGGCATGGATGTAAAATTGTTTGTATCTTCCTAGGAGGTAATGATGACTGCCTATTAGGTGCCTCCACAATAAAACAGCTACTACTTCTGGCCTTAGGAGTGACCAATGACGTGATAGGCAAAACCCGTCATTGGGAAAAAAGTTATATACAGTTGATTTCTTTTTTTAACAGCAAATTATTTATGCCATTATATTCAGCTAAATATGAAGATGGAAACGGTAACAATAGTTCTCTTGCATTTAGATATTTGATTTCAATTTCCTCACAAAGCCATGCCATGCCATCGCTCCTTTTATATTATGTAATGTTTTAATTGACTCATCATTTTGCATTTCTGACAGTTCTTCTTGATATTGCATATTTGAAATATCAGCCAAATCCACTAACATTGGCTGCATCAGCAAAGTTGGGAAATAAATTTGTTTCAAATCAGAAAAACTTTCTTTTAAATCAATTAATAAAAATTTCAGAAGATCGACTATAATATGTATAGCGGTATCAGTCATTCTACATTTTTGGAGCCAATGAAGCTTTTCAAAATTTTTGTTGAAAATATATGCCTGATGTAATTCAATAAAGGTAATGAAACCAAATATCTTCACTTTTGCACTGAAAAGAGTGTTATTTGCTCCTTGAAGTTATTTATTTAATATATTTAGTTTTTTTAAATATATCGCCTAAATAACTCACAAATGCTTTACCATGAATCGTTAACAGATTTTTCATTTCAGGTTTGTTGCTTAAAAAATAAGTAAGAGTAACAAATAGCTCCATAAATATTTTCAATCAGTTCTCTTTTGATAGTCATCCTACTTCATACTACCCTATAGTATGAAGTCTCATAGTCTTCATTTTGTTCTTCACAAAGTAATGTGAAGAGACGTTTCACATTTGGCACTAGCTTTAATAGCATTGATACACTTTATAGCTGAATTTAGTACTTATAACTGAATTTAACAACTTAGTACTTATAGCTGAATTTAGTACATGTTAAATGTTTATAACTACCAGGTTTTCCCTATGAATAACACAATGCACAAGAAGCATTTCTGGATTCTCATCTTTCATCAATTTTAAGCAACCCTTTTTCTTCCCCATCATATGACGAGCACCATCTGCAGCATAAGATGTTATATTTTTCATTGGTATATTTTTGACATCTGAGTAATTTTTTAGCTTACTATAAATATCTTAGGAGGTAATGGTGCTTTTTAATGATTTGCAGAACAACATTTCTTCGGCAAAATCACCTTTATAAATATATCTTGCGTAAGTTATAAGTACGACCTCACTCACTATCTCTCAGAGTTGATTCATCCCCTAGCAGTGAAAATTTTCTTGTTTTCAACTTTTTAAAATGTTGTATTTCAATATTCTCACTCATTTCATCTATTTTTCTGGTCACAGTACTGTTACTTAGTGGCATAGCTTTAAGGTCTTTGTCATCTTTTTCTCGAACCATTTTAAGATATGCTGATATTGATGATTTGATTAAATTCTCCCCTATCGTATGACTTTTCCCAGATTTAGAAATGAGTAATGAAATTTGATAAGTAGCCTCAAGAGTACTAAGAGTTACTAAGAGACTTAAATGTTGCTCTTTTTTTTTTTTTTTTTTTTTTTTGAAAAAAATTAAGTTTGAAAATAATTCAAATCTGAATTAATATGAGCATTATGTTTTGCCTTCAAATGTGCCTCAAGACAACCTTGTTTCATTGATTCGTTGGTCAGTTATTTTTGGCATAAAAGACAAAAAGGTTCATTATGCCTGCCTAGTTCATTATGTACTACCCTATAGTACCACTGGGTATAAAACCGAATCTTAAATATTCCTCCGAATACTGACGAACTTTTGTATTACTTGCACCATTCATTTCACTGAGGGCTGAAAGAAATACAAGATTGGTTAAAAATCACACTGTTAAATATAAACAAAGCTGAAGCTGCTGTTGCCTTCAAAAGAAGAATACCTGTTGCCGTTCCTAAAAAGTAGTAAAAAAGTAAAAAATAAAATGAATTCGTTGGCTGACATGTGCGAAAAATGTTTGGAAAGCATATGTGTCAGCTACTTAAAAGCATTTAAATGTTCACGTCTACAGTGATAACTCTTTATAAAATAATTAAAATGCACTGCAATTTTAAAACTTTTTTATGCATACATCACATTATTCTTTATTTTGGGGAATAAAAAATTAAATTTCGAAAAATTTTGACATCTTGAGAAAATTAGAAAATCTGAACCTCCCTTGCCCCCTTCATTTCTGGACGAGTCCATTTTCAAATCTTCCCCCCCCCCCCCCCGTGGGGAAACACTGCTGTAAATGCTCAGTGATCGTGCCCCAAAACCACGACACAATTTCTTTCAAACAATGACTTTTAATTTATTCAAATAAAACTTTTTATGTAATTGTAGACTAATTGATACTTCAGGAGGAAAAAAAAAAAAAAAAAGGCTTGCCGTAAATCAATTTTAGTCTCAGTTAAAATTTCTTTTACCAAAAAACATCTACAATCTAATCTTTCTGCATATTGTTTCAGCTTTAAATATCTGCTGCCTAGTGAACCACATTTCCATTTTTTGCCCTCAGTTAATGTAGGAAGGTCAACATTTACCTTATCTAGTCCTGTACACGAGTGAAACTCTAAGACTGATGTTTGTTTGGAATGAAATGTTACACAAATTAGCTTTCTTTTGTTGATATAACAGGAAAGGAAGGAGAAAGAATTAGGTCCCGATTAATCTAAGTACTATTATCAATTGCACCCTTTTTTTAATTGATTCAGTTTATTGTTTTCTTCAGTCTATTATTATTACAATTATCTTATCAAAAAGTTTTAGAAAGGACAATGTCTCCATTTTGCTTTTTCCTTGAAAGCGTACATGCATTAATTAGCCTATGGATATCTTAACTTTTAATACACTGGAATGAGCAGTGATTTTAATGAGATGTAAAGAAGCCTTTTTTAAAATCAGTACAGCAGTAAGAGCATCCAAAAATTCTTTAAACGTTTTAATATAGAATCTGGAGTATTGAATAAGATGACAAATCTGCAGATACTTTTAAAAATGCTTGGCATAATTTATAACCAACTATTATATTTCATATGATAATGACAGACACAGATTTAAAGGAAAACATCACAAGTAAAATGTGGAGTTTTTTAATTAATGGAATATGTAAGAAATG